AATGGTTCCAGGGATACGACGCGTGAACATGTAACCTTCTTGGAGGTGCCACGGCGAGTTCTCATATTTCCAACTCAAATTTAGTAACCTGGCCTTGATAAAATACCACTTCTCATTACTGTAGCAAATGTCTCAAGAGGTATGTATGCATCATGAGAGCTTTAGATTATAAGGCCGAACCCGGCTATTCCTTTTCCATTAAATGAAATTTTTTCTGTTAGTGCGGCACTTAAAAAATAAATCTCCATAACGTTTGTAAAACGTTTGTTGGTATATATCTTAATGAAAATGCATACCAAATTGCTCAGATTGATGAGGAAACCTGACTTAGCCATACCGGATTAACTTGCTTTGTGTGCACAGGAAAACTCCAGCATAAATTAATAATCACCAAACCTACTTGATCAAATTAAGAGTTAATGATTAAACATTATTTTTTTAATCGCGGTTACGATTAACTGTTTAGTCAGATTAAAATTAATCGCGATTAACTGTAATCAGATTGAATTTAACCGAATTAACTAATTGATTAAAAAATCAATCGATTAATGCCAACATTGATTTCACCTACATATCTCTATTCCAAGTTCCAGTTATCTCCCACAAATACTTCCAGAGATATGTATGTAATATGAAAATTCCAATTTGTATGAGAAGGGTCTTGAGTTATCGGAATTACTTTCAGCGTAAGACCATCCTTGCGAAATTCGTAGTAACTGTACCAAATTTCGTTCTGATCGGGAAACCGGTTAGGGGAGTAGCCATTATGAAATCGATTTAACAAATATTTTATTTTAAAAATTAGATCTCGTTATAATATAGTTTTTAAAAACAAAAACGAATATAATACCTTCAGAGGGTAATAATAAATAACACAAATCACTTATATAATAGTGATGCACCAACAATTTTCTTTAAAAATACGCATGCTTTTTAAAAATATTTCTTTCAACACATTTTGCAATAGGACTGCGCAGTTATTAAATTTATTATAACTCATATTAATTGATTAATCGCACAATCCGCTCTTAAGAGCTCGGCGCTAAAAATAAAATAAAAACCTATAATAAGGCGAGATCAGATATTTCCACAATTTCTTCAAAATCACCTATAGCGTCTGAATCAGTTACATTTCTGTTGTTGTCATATATTGAGCTGTCCAACCTTGATAACATACTGTTTGATATTGGAAACGTTTTGCAGCAGAAACTATTAGCCTTCATATAAGGCTTTATTCGAACTATTGAATTAAGGCTTTCCAATCTCATCCTATTTCAAATCTTATTTCGACAGCTGAGTGGAAGATCGACCTCAAAAACTTTTCAAGAACGCCATATTTCAGAATTTTATTGAAAAACACCCTATCTCAGAATTTGGTTGAAAAACGCCCTATCTCACTTCAAAACGTATTGAAAATGTGCTGATATAGGGCGTTTTTGAACCGGCAGCTGAGAAAGGGCGTTCTTGAAACGAATTATGAAATAGGGCGTTCTTGAAAAGTTTTTTAAGATAGAGCGTATTCGAACTGGCTGCCGAGATAGATCGATCTTCCACTCAGCCGTCGATTTTTTGTTGAATCCATTACGGAAAAAAACGCGCTCAACAAAGCATGTGAGTGCCGCAAGGATAATAATATCAATTTACTTATATTTCCAAACATTTTATTGGCTGTTTCAAAAGTTCTTCGATTAGGGTGATTAAACATTTTTGTGTCTTTTAATATGCTTCTTAAGTCAAGTTTATCACGCAGTTCACTAGCCTCTTCTGTAAAATTATCGTGGAAAACTAAGTTTTGTATATTATTATGATTAGGAAAAATGTATTTGAAGGGAAAAGATCGCCAATGGCGATTTCCTAAATTTTTACGCGCAAATATTAAAAAAAAAAATCGCCAAATTGGCGCGAAATCGCAAAATCTGGACACTGTTTTTGACATGCATTTTTGCGCCACCGTAGTGTACAAACAATTACGTATAAAACTGATGATCCAATCTTCTTGCAACGCTAAAATCTTTTTAAACTAAACTTTTTATAAAACCTTGGTTTATAAAATAACAAATTAATTCAGTTTTGTAGCTTGCATTCAAATTTCAAACAAATATCTCATGTATTTAAGCAAACTGAAAATGTCATATTTCATTTATTCATGTTTTTAATTAACTCAAACGTAACATGTGTGTAGTATAATAGGCGGCATACACCATGCGTCTGACTAGCGAGTTATAAGCGCACCACATATTGACAAATTTTTACAATTATTTTGTTTTGTTTAATTTTAGTTATTTTTTATAAAAATCTAGTTTATTATTTAACAAAAACCGTATAATCCAAGTTTGAAACAATGTGCAATAGTTGAAAAAAATTCAACAAACTTTCGTAAAAATGTCGAGGTTGTTAATAAGATTATAGAATATAGTAGGTATAGACCATACATATAAGTCAAAGTGCACAGTTCACGAAAATTTAACAAATTTCAAAAAAATGCCATCACAATTTTAAAGTTTTTATTAAGAATCTTTAGAAATTTATTGGGTATGCAGTTTTGTAGCCCATTAAATTTTTATATGATGTTATGCAGGTTTGAAAATTCCATAAAAAAAATAGATGTTGTTCATGCGTTAAATAACGGGTGATTTTTTTGAGGTTAGGATTTTCATGCATTAGTATTTGACAGATCACGTGGGATTTCAGACATGGTGTCAAAGAGAAAGATGCTCAGTATGCTTTGACATTTCATCATGAATAGACTTACTAACGAGCAACGCTTGCAAATCATTGAATTTTATTACCAAAATCAGTGTTCGGTTCGAAATGTGTTTCGCGCTTTACGTCCGATTTATGGTCTACATAATCGACCAAGTGAGCAAACAATTAATGCGATTGTGACCAAGTTTCGCACTCAGTTTACTTTATTGGACATTAAACCAACCACACGAATGCGTACAGTGCGTACAGAAGAGAATATTGCGTCTGTTTCTGAGAGTGTTGCTGAAGACCGTGAAATGTCGATTCGTTGCCGTTCGCAGCAATTGGGTTTGTGTTATTCGACCACATGGAAGATTTTACGCAAAGATCTTGGTGTAAAACCGTATAAAATACAGCTCGTGCAAGAACTGAAGCCGAACGATCTGCCACAACGTCGAATTTTCAGTGAATGGGCCCTAGAAAAGTTGGCAGAAAATCCGCTTTTTTATCGACAAATTTTGTTCAGCGATGAGGCTCATTTCTGGTTGAATGGCTTCGTAAATAAGCAAAATTGCCGCATTTGGAGTGAAGAGCAACCAGAAGCCGTTCAAGAACTGCCCATGCATCCCGAAAAATGCACTGTTTGGTGTGGTTTGTACGCTGGTGGAATCATTGGACCGTATTTTTTCAAAGATGCTGTTGGACGCAACGTTACGGTGAATGGCGATCGCTATCGTTCGATGCTAACAAACTTTTTGTTGCCAAAAATGGAAGAACTGAACTTGGTTGACATGTGGTTTCAACAAGATGGCGCTACATGCCACACAGCTCGCGATTCTATGTTCATTTTGAGGGAAAACTTCGGAGAACAATTCATCTCAAGAAATGGACCGGTAAGTTGGCCACCAAGATCATGCGATTTGACGCCTTTAGACTATTTTTTGTGGGGCTACGTCAAGTCTAAAGTCTACAGAAATAAGCCAGCAACTATTCCAGCTTTGGAAGACAACATTTCCGAAGAAATTCGGGCTATTCCGGCCGAAATGCTCGAAAAAGTTGCCCAAAATTGGACTTTCCGAATGGACCACCTAAGACGCAGCCGCGGTCAACATTTAAATGAAATTATCTTCAAAAAGTAAATGTCATGGACCAATCTAACGTTTCAAATAAAGAACCGATGAGATTTTGCAAATTTTATGCCTTTTTTTTAAAAAAAAAGTTATCAAGCTCTTAAAAAATCACCCGTTAGAAGAAAATGTGCAACACCTGTAGCGTTCACGAAATTCAAACACCACCTATTTAAAAGCTTGTTCGATTAGATTAGTTATTTTTGCTTAAAATTGTCTAACTTAAACGG